ATTGAGTCAATGTGAGTGAAGCTGCCTCGGACGGACTACCCAACGCATATGCACGCCACCACTAATAGGCCGCTCCTCTAAGCTGGAACGTAGTGGCACTCCTCAAGAAAATCCTGGGCATCCTTTGACGACAGGCCATTGAAAGTAGGAGGGTGGTACTTCTTGTACCTCTCAAGTAGGCTCCTCCTCAGAAACTGTTGCCCTACCCTCGGGCCGAACTGGGCCTACCGGCTGTACTAGTATGACCTCTGGAACATGGTCGACCTGAACCCACTACTCTGGGGTACGGGCGGCGGGATTATATGCTCCTCCCCCGGCCTGAGATGTGGCAGGAGCAAATGAGATCAACCCTGCCTGAGCTAAAGTGCCAAATATGCTCAGAAACTGTGCAAGGGTCTCCTAAAGAGCTGGTGCAGCAACATGAATCTTAGGTGTCTGTGCTCCAACTGGAGATACTGGTGGATCCTCTGTAGAAGCTCGTGCGGGTGCTCTGGATATACCACGTGGACGCCCTCGACCTCTACCCCGGCCCCGGCCCCAGCCTCTCGCGGCTCTAGCAGGGGGCGCGAGTGACTGGTCATCTGATCTGGTTGTACGTGTCCTCACCATCTGTGAGAGAATAAAAGACAGAATTTTAGAATTTTGAAGTCAACAATTTTGCACGACAAGGAATCAAAGAAGTGAAATTTTCCTAACAGTTTCATAGCCTCCAGAAGATAAGTATAAATGTATCTATACCGATCCACGAGACTCTACTAAATATGTTTGTGACTCATAACACANATAAAGCTGGAAAACTGCCACTTGGCATGTACAAGTAAAACCAACAACTCCAAGTATAAGCATCTCCCAAAGACCTGGTAGTCACAAGTCACAAACTCTAAGGAATTGTTCTAACTGTCTCTATACATCAGCATCTAGGAAAAATAAAGAAAAATAACATAAAAGGATAGAGGGGGACTCAGAGGTCTGCGGACGCTGGAAGATGTACCTTAAAGTCTTCGTAGCAGCAACACGTACTCAACTAATAGCGGGGATGGTGGGAGGTACGTGGGCTGCACACAAAACATGTGCAGAAGAGTAGTATGAGTACACCACAACGGTACCTAGTAAGTGCCAAGCCTAACCTCAGTAGAGTAGTGACGAGGTCAGGTCAGGGCCCTACTAGAATATAATAATTAAGGCAAAAGAGATAGTAATATAATGAAAGACTGAGAATTTAACATCGAGAAATACAGAAAGAGGAAACTACACAACAAATAGGAGTAAACAACATGGGCACTCCCGAGGTACCGCCTCGTAGTCCCAAAGTAAATACTCAACAGGGGATCTCCCGAGGTACCACCTCATAGTCCCAAAAGTAAATATGCAATGGAGATCTCCCGAGGTACCGCCTCGAAGTCCCAAAAGTAAATATGCAATAGGGGATCTCCCGAAGTACTGCCTCGTAGTCCCAAAAGTAAATATGCAATATGGATCTCCCGAGGTACCGCCTCGTTGTCCTAAAAGTAAATATGCAACAGAGAATTTTCCGACGTACCGCCTCGTACTCCCAAAAGTGAACACACAGCTCGAAATCGATGGAACAACGAACTCACAACAAGAAATCCTACAGTTAAAGACTAAATACAAAAATCATGGAAAACAAGAATTTCGACTAAGCATGCTACACAGATTTCAAATAAGCATTTAAGACACGTAGACATACGATATTAGACTAAACATGATAACTACACATACTGGGATAACTCATTTAAGATATAACAAGTTGTTGTTCAGTAAAAAATAGATTTTTCAACAATTAGCATGTGTACGCACTCGTCATCTCGCATACACGAAACTCACATATCACAGAATTTTCACAACAGTACCAAATCCTAAGGGGATTTCCCCCACATAATGTTAGGCAAGTCACTTATCTCGAGCCAAGCTCAATCGGTCAATAAGAATGCCCTTTCCTTGACTTTCTGACTCTGAATGGCCCAAATCTAGCCAAAAAAAATTGCATACTATAAATATAACTATAAGTAACTAATCTAATTAATGAATCAAGACTTTAACAAGAAATTAGAAAATTGCCCCAAAAAGCCGACCTAGGTCCATGTCTCGAAATCGGGTAAAAGTCACAAAATATGAACACCCATTCAACCATGAGTTCACCTATACCAAAATTACTCAAATCCGATACCAAAACCTCAATCAAAACCCCAAAACTCGGTCTAAGAACTTTACAACTTTTTTCCCAAATTTCTCAACTCAAAACCTTAGTTAAATGAAGAAATTAACGATAGATTAATGAAATATAACCAAAAACGAGTCAAGAATCATTACCCAAATATTTCCTCTGAAAAACCCTTGAAATTTCACCTCAATACGAGCACTCTAGGTCCAACAATGAAAATGGGAGAAAACCCGTCGATTTGAAATTTTAAAGTCTGCCCAGGTATTTCCTTCTTCTCTAGGTCCTCCTTCCTTGCGAGCTTCCGCGTTCGTGAAGAGCAAAAATGCTTCTGTCCAAAAATCTTCTACGCGAACGTGAGGACCCACTCGCGAACGCGGTGAACTCTGCCCCAAGCCTTCGCGAACGCGGAGCTTCTCTCGCGAACACGTAGATCTAAAGTTCCACCGCTTCGCGAACGCGGGACCTACATCGCGAACGTGAAGGCAAAAATCTCAGCAACCCTCAACCCCTCTATGCGAACGCGGGAACAGCTTCGCGAACGCATAGAAGGAAACCAAACACCAGAATCACTGAAGCTTCAGCCATCTTCCCAAGTCCAATTTCCAATCCGATAACCATCCGAAAACCACTCGAGGCCCTCGAGACCTCAACCAAACATACCGACCAGTCCTAAAACATCATACGAAGTTAGTCGAGCCTTCAAATCACATCAAACAATGCTAAAAACACGAATCGTACCCCAATTCAAGCTTAATGGACTTTAAAACTTCAAACTTCTACAACCGATGCCAAAACCTACCAAATCACGTTCGATTGACCCCAAATTTTGTACATAAGTCACATTTGACATTACGGACCTACTCCAACTTCCAGAATCGGAATCTAACCCCGATATCAAAAATTTTACTCCCGGTCAAACTTCCCAAAAATTCAACCTTCGCCATTTCAAGCCTAATTCAACTACGGACTTCCAAATCATAATCCGGACACACTCCTAAGTCCAAAATCACCCAACGGAGCTAACAGAACCGACAAAACTCCATTCCGGAGTCGTCTTCACACAGTTCCAACTACTGTCAATTTCCTAGAACTTAAGCTTCCACTTTAGGGACTAAGTGTCCCATTTCACTCCAAAATCAAAAACAACCCCTCCTGGCAAGTCACATAAACATAAAATAAAATAGAGGGAACAATAGATAGGGGATCGGGGCTAGTACTCTCAAAACGACCGACCGGGTCATTACATATATGTTGAAAGAGATAGAACCAAATGGTTCTTCACACAGGTCAACATAGAAACATGTCATTTGCTGAAAAAGTAGAAGTTCTAGCAATAAGATATCGTCCGTATTTCGCTGAAGTAAGAGAGGCTCGGCATAGTAAACCAGTCGTTCCATGATATGCCTATCACTCAGCACCTGTGCTACCTCCCACCAGCAGCTGAGGTACGAGTAGCTCATTCTACGAAGACTTAGACAGAAGTTCTATTCCTTTATTCAGAAGTTTTTTATTATCTGTAATGTATCCTTTAACTTGTTCCCAATTCCATAGTATGTGGTACGTGTTCAGCACTTCGGGTAGTCTTGAAATATCATGGTTCCATTAGAACAACCTTTCATAAAATCATTTAGGACACTTAACACCAAAAACTCCAGAAGACTAAGGTGTTTGCTTCAATGATATGTCAAAATAGTGAAGTATTCATTTATGGGTTTAACTTATACACACGATAAATTTTTGCTCTACCAATATAATTTATCATATTGTAGCAGGTTGCTTGACTTAATTTCTAGGTAGCTAGTTCCACTTAGAATGAACAGTTACTTGTAGTTATTTTTTAGATGACCTGATTGAGTAAAAATTCTTTTACAACGCCAGTATAGAAGTTAAACTTTTCATTTGTTGTAGATTGTAGTTGAATGGAAGCTTGAGAACTTTGGCAATGTGTTTTATGATTGGCTCTTATGTTTCTACTCCTTTATTCATAAATTCTTTCACTAGCAAAATATGAGTGCATACTGAAATGTAGGAGGTCATCTCCTTCTCTTTTGTACACATTAGATTTGTACACATTAGAGGTAAGTCTATCTCATTTCCAGTGATAATGTCAAAATCGGGGAAGTATTTATTTACGGATTTAACTTAGATACAGGTTGGATACAGGTCAGTATAATTTAAATCATATTGTTTCTTAAAAATGTTTGAACCAAATTATTTTAAATAACTCCATTGTGTTGTGAATTAATGGAATAGTAGTTAATACTACTAATAACTACTCTATTAAAAAAAAATAAGATATTGGGTTTTTCACAATAATCCAAAATAATCTCTACAAATTATAAGTCGCATATGCCGAATGCGATTTATAAGTCGCATAAGGTCAATGCGATTTATAAGTTACATATGCTGATAAATTTATATATCGCATTTGTCAAATGTAATTTATAAGTCATATTTATTTAATGATATTTATGTTTGCTAACAGATACACCTAAGTTTTCTCTATTCTCAGTTCTCGTTTGGATCCTTATTATAATTATTTTATTCAAAATTTAGCTCTTCATTTATAATTCTCCTATACATAATAATGAGTTATTCCTTACTATAGCATAACATATATTTATTAAATGCCTAACAAAGTTTAACTGATTAAAGAACTATTGATTCAACATATGCATCATTGAATTTTATTTATAATTATATCTAAATTTCTTTTCAAAAATTCAAAAAAGAGTTAAAATTTTTGAAAATAAAACTTATGTATGTAATTATAAATAATGAAATTCAAAAAGGAAACCTAGAATGGGAAAGCAGTATATTGCTTCGATAAATGCGATTTATATTGCAATAGCGGAATACAACTTAGTAATATTACTAGACTGTGAAATAGCCTAGTTCCTTCTTATATCAATAAATCTTTCTTCTCTTTGCATTCCTTTGAAGTCTTTTAAGCTTCAACAAGAGTGCATACACACATCATATGTAAACTAACTAAACATAAGCTGTCTACTTTGTATTATTTCTATATGTATATACAAAACAATCAAGCAAAATGAACAAGAGAAAAGAGCAACAAGAATACACTATATTTTAACTTAGAAGAGGCTTCTCCACATCATATTCATCACTTTCTGAGGAATTGGAAGAACTGATCAAATACCCTTCTTTCCCTTTAGCCCATAGCACGGAATACAGACCGATGAACATCAAAAACATACCAGCAAGGCTGCAGAAAGAAGCTATACGTCACTCCAAGTATTAACTACTCAATCAGTAGCGTACACAGGATTTTACGCAAGCAGCGTCAGCCTATTGTCAAAACTGAACTAGTACATTATTCTGCATTTCAAACTATCGACTTCTAATAAGGCTTTAATTCCATCCTAAACCAATACTTCATATTATTTTTTCAAAACGTGATGTGTGGATATGTGTGAGTATGTGTGAAAGGGAGCTTTGGCGTAACTAGTAAAGTTGCTACCATGTGACCAGGAGGCCACGAGTACGAGCCGTGGAAACAGCCTCTTACAGAAATGCAGGGTAAGGTTGCGTACAATAGACCCATGCGGTTCAGCTCTTCCCTGGACTCTGCGCATAACAGGACCTTAGTGCACCGAGCTGCCCTTTTGATGTGTGAGTATGTGCGTATGCGCGCGCTCATGTGTACATTTATTTGAATATTTTACGGAGGTTGATTGATAATGCATTTACCTTCCAAGAGTGATTGAGTCCCTTAAGGTGATTGTAGAGAGAACAACTGCTAACACAGTTCCAATGGGACTAAAAACAGAAACCAAAACTGGCCCTCTTTTCTTCATTGCCCAATTGTTAAAGCTTATGCATGCTCCACTTACAATTCCTGCCTATTACAACAAAAAATTTGTAGGAATATCAGAATCATTTATTTCCTTTACCCTACAATTTGTCTACATAACAATTTGCACATACAGAAAAAAAAAAAAAAAAAAAAAAAAAAGGCAGCTCGGTGCACTAAGCTTTCGCTATGCGCGAGGTCAAGGGTCGGACACAATAGCCTATTGTATGCAGCCTTACCCTGCATTTCTGCAAGAGGCTGTTTCCACGGCTTGAACCCGTGACCTCCTGGTCGCATGACAACAACTTTACCAGCTATGCCAAGGCTCCCGGGTCACCTAACAAATTGCACATATAACAATAAAAATCAAGGTAACTGATGAATTACCAGTAAGGAATAACCAATCAAGTCGCGGATATTTAAGGGAAATCCGATCTCCAAGCAATGTTCTTGAACCAACTCAACAATTACAGTCAATGCCATGCCTATAAAGGAAGTTATAGCAGACAAAGAGATTGGTGCTGGAAAATCACCCAATGTTGTTGCCTGAAAAGTTGTAAATTAACCAACATATTAGGAAGAACTACACTAGCAAAATGACACTATACAAGAAAAATGTCATAGAACTTTAGCTAGGAAATATACAGTTCATCACTAAAAGGAAAAATAGCGACGAGCTAATATACAATAACGAGGAAAAGGTTCCTTTTAGCAAGAGATTATAGCCTTGCTAAATTTAGGGAACACTAGTGCCCCATCCTCGCTCAAAATTAGCGAGGCCCTTAATAGAACGATCTCGCTCATAATTGGCGAGGCCCTTATTAGAACGTCCTCGCTCATAATTAGCGAGGCCCTTATTAGAACGTCCTCGCTCAAAATTAGCGAGGCCCTTATTAGAACGTCCTCGCTTATAATTAGTGAGGCCCTTCCTTACTAGAACATCCTCGCTCATAATTAGCGAGGCCCTTATTAGAACGTCCTTGCTCATAATAAGTGAGGCCCTTATTAGAACATCCTCGCTCAAAATTAGCAAGGAACTTATTAGAACGTCCACGCTCAAATTAGCGAGGCACTTATTAGAACATCCTCGCTCAAAATTAGCAAGGCTCTTGTTACTCGCTAATTGGGAGTAAGTATTAGTTAATACTGTCTATACCTGCAAAACAACACTACTTGATAACACCAAGATTGCAGCCATGAGATAGATTGATCCCTTGATCTTCTCTTCATTAAATATGTCAGCATCATCATCATGTGGTGGAGATGGTAAAGAAAACTGAGCCTCTTTTTTTGGTATGTGAGCATTTGAGCTACTTTGCATTAGGCTCATTAGAATTGCCCCTGTAATGCACAATAGTGTTCCTACAATTTTGACTTTGCTGTATTTGCACCTTAACTCCACCTTCTCTAATCTGCATGTAAGGTCATAGAACTTAGAATTGCAACTAAAGCAAGTAAATAATTAGAAGAAACCATTTCCCATTACTTTCCCCTTTATTAATTATTAAATAAATAGGAGTAGGATTTTTACACTGTATAGCCGCCCACCCAAAAAAATAACCGGTATATA